GTGGCTGCGGTCACAGCGAGGCAGGGCCTACAGAGGAACCAGGAGGTCTTATTTTCTAACCTAAGTAAGACCCAGGCAGAACTAGCAGGGAGGGCTTACTGTGGGACTGAAATTTCAGATGATGTAAAGGGGATCTGGTCACGGCCTTGGTACTGCCTGTGTTCCGTGGACTCCCTCCCACAAGTGAGTGGAGTGGTCAGGGGACCTGGCATTGGAGTCACATAGGGAGAGCTCTGGATGGAAATAAGAAGACAATTCAATTCTCTTTGCCTAATATGCTCTATAACCCTAGGCAAGTCACTGCATCGACTTCAGCCACAGTTTTCTTCATCGTAGAAGTAAATCTCTGTCCTACGCCTCACCTAACATGGGCAAAACTGGGCTGAAAGATGCAAAGGAGTTAAAAGAATTGAAAGAACATATATGTGTCTGATCAAGCCTGTCGCCCGAGATGTCTAGGCAACAGTGGAACCTAAGGAATTTTTTTCTCCAGGATCCTTGGACCTCCCGGAGCTTCAGCCTGCAGCCTTTGTGTCTTCTTACCAACCCATGTTCTTGACACACGAACCCTTGGTAGATGCTCAGCTGCAGCACTTGAAGTCTCCTTCGCAGCGTAGCCCAACTCAGTCTTCAGACTGAACAAGAAGGGATCCGATACCACCTCATTTTCACCATGATGAATGGTTTAACTTAGACTAAAGTTTAAGACCATATAGAAGAAGGCAGCAACTCGGGGGTGAAGAAGATAGTAAATTAACGCATTTTGTCATGGAAGTTCCCATGGTGACAGCTTTCCTGGGAAAAACTTCAGCTGCTTTATTTTTAGTAATAAATTTCTGTTGACAGTTCTGCTTATTTTCATCGTGTTGTAATCAGGATATAACCTTTCTGCTTAGCTCTGCCTGCGGTAAAGTCCTTCATAAACCCGAGTGAGAGACGGCTGCTGACGCACGAGGAAGGTAGTTAAGATTCTGACAGCCTTCTACCCTTGGTTCTCATCCTCGTTCAAGGAGTGTTAGGTCCCCACCCCTGCAACCAGCTGCTGCTTTATGTCCTTATCAGTATCATCAAAATCAAGTCCTGCTTATCCTGAAGCTGGAAGGTCCAGTCCAAGGCCCACTGTTCATCTTTTTCACATTTGCAGATTCTTCAAGGGGATCAGAAAATCCTCTGTAACCCTTTCTACCTCCCTTTTGTGGTTTCTTATTGGAGAATGCGCTTTTAGCTAAATATGTTGAAAGCACATAGTAACAGCTTTAGATAGAACATGACTGGGGATTGGTTCCCACCCACCATAACAGACCCCGTCAGCTCATTAATCGTGTAGTAACGTGACTGCATTCTGGATAACTGGATTTTTTGGACCCTACTTACTGCATAAAGGTAGACACTTACCACATCCCTAACCCCAACCCACAGCTCCACGTACCTTGTGGGATGCCTTTGCTGCCCATCCCACCAGGTAGCAGGGCTGGTATAACGGGAAGGAACCAAAGGGCCCCAGAAGCAGAAGGGATGGGGAGGGAGTGGTGAGAACTGGGCTGTCACTGCTGCGACTGCATGACTGCTGACTGGGGAGAAAACAAATGGGACTAGCAGTCCACAGGAACAGACTTAGACAGCAGAGGGAGGGAACCAGACAGCAGCACTTAGAGGACATCACACTGGCCACGGTGAGGAATCAGAAACTGAAGTGACTAATGTTAGTTTTATGACTCTTAATGTAGTCTTCAAGGTACATAGCTTTTATAGTGCAAAAGAATAAAATGTGGGTAATAGCAAATCAGGGATGGAAAGGGGATTACTGACAGCTGCTACTGCTTTCCTTTTGTCTTTTCTCGTAAGATGCCTGAACCTATTTACACTTACACAGAAATGATATCTGCTGCATTTAACATATAACATCTTTCCATTCTATTACAGCCTAAGGAAATGACAAGCTCACAGTTAAATTCATTTTCTGAATGACATTTTGAAAAAATGTTTAAATAAGTTAGTAGTGCACTGTTTACTAAGAGTTTACTTTGTGGCTTTCCTAGAACGGTGTTTTTCAAACTACAGATCTCAACCCATTTGTTGTTAAACTTTGGTAGTCAAGACCCACATCTTTTAGAATTAAATTAGAAGACGGAACATACTGGAATGCATTGCATGACAAAAGGTTGAAAGTTTGGTTTCAGCCATAGTATGTATGTAAATATTTGTGTATCAGTCACACAGTACATACAGGGATACATGGAATGATGTAAAATGTTTTTATTGTGGATTACCGTGTTAAAATACTTGCAAAACACTGCCCTAGTATACTTAATTTTATTTTCATCTATTGGTTTGTTAAAGATAGATCTGTTACATTTGACAGCATCCGGTGTCAGTGAGAATGAGGGGAAAAAATGGAACTGTGCCTTGGTGGGAATGTAAACTGTTGAACCTTTTGGGAGGAGTAAGCTGTAGGTATTAAAATGTGAAACATATTGACCCTTAAACCTGTCATTCCACATGAAGGACCCTAGCAAATTAAGTGCGGTACGGTGTTTGCATGTAACAGCTTCACAGTATTGATTTTATACGAAAAAACTGGAAAGACCCTGTATGTCCACTAATGAGAAACTGGTTAAAGAACCGTGCTCCCACAAACTGAAACAAACTGAATCTCTATTCAATTTACATAGGAAAATTATTTTGCTAGAATAAGTTAAAAACAGATTATAAACTCATGTGCCATGTAGTAGGTAAAATGTGACTCAAATCAAGTGACTGCTCAACGAAATGTTAAATGTTTCCAAATGATGAACTTTGGGCTAATTTTTTTACTTGCTTATACCTTTCTTTAGCATGCTCTACAGTGATTATAAATTTTATTTTTCAAACTTATTTTAATCTGGGAAATAAGCTGAATTCCTATAGAATGTTTTAAATTAGTCAGCCATTAAAAACTAACTTTCACATGACTTTT